CGGCGCGCGCCCCACAGCCCGTCCCCCTACCACTCCAGAGGCGCTGCAGCCTGTCCAACTGCCTCGCGTCAAGGGTGGGGGTGCAGGGGCTGAGCCAGAGTGGGGAGCCGAGACTGGACTCCAGACCACGCCTCCTCCCTCACAGGACCAGCGTCGCGCACACTCCCCCCCATCCCACCAGCACCAATGGTCCAGCTGCGCGGGGTTGGAGAGGGCGGGGTGGAGAGTGGAGCGAGGTCATTGGCTGCCTCGGAGGGATGCCCGTTGGGCCCTAGTCACCCATTGGTTACTGCCCAGCGTTCCCTGGACTGAGAGCAACCGAGACCACCCACCTCCCACCCGCACCGCTCCGCGGGTTGGTCCCCGGAGCAAGCAAGAGACCGAGCTAGGCTGGAGGCTTCTGCCGGTTGTTGGGTGACCTCTCTCGCCCCCTCAATGCCAGCCCGGGATTGTCTGGGAGCTGGCGGCCCGCGCCCTGGGGGCTGCCCAGGGGGGCTCTCTGGCATCCGCCGGAGCCGTGGCAGTGCTGCTCTCTAGCAGGCTGTGTGTCTGTAGGGGGTGGGTTGCTGGAGCCAAGCCAGAGAGCTGTAGCAGCGTCAGTTGGGCTAAGGCAGTGTTTCCACTGGCCCCTGCAGACCACTGCGCTGCCTTCCCTTTCCCACAATCCAAAATGGGGCTAGGGCCGCTGGGTGGGGCAGGGAGAAATTTTAACCACACACAGTACTGAGAAGCAAGGAAAGGTAGAGAACCCGGGACACGTGCACTAAAGACCACGTATACGTACCTAGATGCCCACGTATGGTTATGTGCACATGTGTGCTATGTGTAGGTCCAGAGACTGGCACATGGGTGTGTACTTGCATGCAAACATACATTCAATTTAGATATGGACACCCAAGTGATTGTGCCAAAGTATATACATATATGCACATTAATGCAAATATAAATGTGTGCACGCACACACCTACACTCAGGTAATAGATACCGCCAAAACCATGTACATATACACACTGCAAGGCATATGCTCCCAGACACGCACGTCCTCAATCCCAATACCTTCACACAGTCCTCCTTGTGTCTTCCCTTCTTGTTAAACCTAACCTAGGGCAAAGCAACATTGTGCTGTGTGGGTCTTTCATGCAAAACACTTTATAGAGACAAATAACAGCAGAGGGAGAGACAAATTAAGAGGTGTAATAGGCAAGAGGGAAAATATCTGCTTTCAGCTGCAATTTAAAATGAAATGCAGTGTTGACGAGACAGAAAATACTGCAGGGAGGCCTTTCCCAATAGAAGCTGCGGGCCAAGCAGGCTCTCACCTCATAAATCTTGCTTCCTCCCTAAGGCCTGCTGCAGATGGGACACTGGGACTCAGTCATCCTTCTACTTCTGGCCAGGCCACTGACAGCAGACCCACCCTTGATGTTTAAATACCCCTGGCATGTAAATTCCTGTCAACTGAAAATAAAATAGAAAAGACTAGTATGGGTAACAGGTGCAACTCTTTTGGTCACTGGAGATGAATAACCTCTCCCAACCCCACATACACCTAGCTTAAATATAAAATTCTCATTTAGATGTTTAGTTTCTTGGGAGCTTGTCTGGCAGGAGTCAGTTCCCTGGAGCCAGCTGTGCACACTTGGGTGCAGGATCCCAGAGACCTAGCCTCCCCACCTCTCCTGTTTCCAATACTCAAGCATCTCCTCACTGGGCCCCACCTCCGGGAAGGACAGCTTTGTCTTTGGAGAACCAGGCAGCATTTACTAGAGACATCTTCTGCATTGCTCTGTATTGAGAGTGAAGGAGAATCCCTATTGAGTCCCCTGTGAAGGCAGGATTCAGGGGAAGGGGAGGAAGGTAAAGCTGAGTCTTGGAAGGGGATGTCTGTTTGAATGAGATGCTCACTGTGATGTGACACTCTGACCAGTCTCTAGTCATGGCTTTATGAGTCATGGTAGAAAGTGGGGCCAGAACAGGACCAACACCTTTCCAATGTGGACTATGAAAAACAGAAATACAGCCCTGATGAAGACATGAAGCCTTCCTTCATGGGACTGCTTGTGTAAAAGGCAGCAAAGACTGATTTGGCCCGTTAGGAAGGGAACCACCAGGCACAGTGCCAGAGCTTCACCCACATCCTCTCTCACCCTCATGCCAGCTCTCTCTGAGGTACGTCTTGAGATTCCAGTTTAACAGTTGGGGAAACTGAGGCTCAGGGGTGTAACATGACTTGTCCAAAGCCAGAGAATTTGCAAATATAAGGAAAAAACAGTCTCATCTAATCCCAGAATCTGTGCTCGGTTAATAATATTAATAACCTCTGAGATTAGTGGGTACTTAGTATGTGGCAGGCCCTTCTAAGAGCATATTATAGAAACTAACTTATTTAATCCTTATAACCACTCCATGCAACAGGTACTATTGAGAGATGTTAAGGAATTTACCCAATGTCACACAGCTGGAAAGTGGAAGAAGGGAAATTCAAGCCCAGACAATCAACATGCAGAGCCTTCTATGTCTTTCTGAACCTACATAGTGATGCTGTGAGAGCAGGCACAACAGGAGGTCAGAGCTCAGAAAGAGCATTGGCCTCAGGCAAGATAGTCATGGCTTGTGGGGAGGATTATATGAGTCTTTCAGTCATTCAGCAAGCATGCATAAGGCACCTGTTTTATATATATATATATGAATAAGAAATATTTATATATATATATATAACTTTTTCCAGGCAATATGCTAGACTTTAGGAATACAATGGAGACCAAAAACCAGACAATTTGCTCCCATTATAAACCTTAAAGTCTCATTGGGAAGGCAAGTTTAAATAAATAACTGCCAAATAAGTATGTGAGCTGAGATAAGAATGAGGATGGAGAGAGAAACACTGCTATAAGAAAATATAACAACTGATCTGGATACAGGCTTGAATTGTGTTGGCTAAGGAAGACTTCCCCTAAGGTTAAGTAGATTTACCTAGGCAAAGAGGGGTAGTGAGAATGCCCAGGCTGAGGGGACAGCATATGCAAAGGCCCTGGGATAGAGGCAGCATGGTGTTATGGAGAGCAGAAGACGGCAGTGTGTCTGGAATAAAAAGAGTGATGATAAGATAGATGATAAGATAAAATAGATAAGATAGATAAGCAGAAAGATAAGAAGCAACATGGAATGATTTAGGGCAGGAGAGGAAATTGGGTGGGTGGATTTAAATTGACATTTTCAAAGGCTACTCTAGTTACAGTGTGGAAAACAGGATGGAAGGCAGGAGTGAATGAAGTGGAGGATATTGCAATCGTTTGTACTGGCTTAGACTGGGAGAGTGGGGGATGGGTAGCATCTCAGAATCCAAACCATACTTAGAAGCTGAAATTGATAGGATTGAGTAATGGCTTGAAATTTGACATGGATAGAGAGGGAGGAATCTCCGAGTTCTCTAAAATGCCTGCAGTATGGGGATGGGGGTGTTAGTTGAGATGAGAGCAGTGAACCAAGCTGTAAGGGACTCCCTCTTACCTCCTGCACTGAGAAGGCAGCTGAGAAGGCACTGAGAATGAGTCTGAATCTCATTTAGTCCATGAGTCTCATTTAGAATCAAAGACTAGAGATAAATGCCAAGCTCCAGCCAAGAGATAATCATGGGGCAGCTTCCTTACCAGACACTGATGACAGTGGGGGATTCTATAAGAGCACCTCGGGGTCACCCCAGCAGGATGCAGGACCCACTCAAACCTTGCTGTGCAGTAGAGGCCAATTTCATGGTCATGGAACCCAGAACACCTCTCTCAAACTATTAAAAGAGCATGAAATTTTCCTTCTAACTCTTCTTGCCTGAGTCTCCAGGCCTGTGACTAGGCTTTTGCCACGGGGTCCTGGCACTGGAGGTTTAGTGGTTATATAAGGGAGCAGTTTTTCCCTTGGAGACCATTTGGCAGTATCTGGAGATAATTTGGGTTGTCACAACTGGGAGAGGAGTGCTACTGGCATCTTGTGGACAGAGGTCAGGGATACTACTAAAGACCAAACAATGCACAGCACAGTCCCCCACAACAAAGAATGATCTGGTCCCAGATATCACAGGGCAAGGGTAAGAAATCCTGGCTTAGAGCCAAGG